TTTATTTGTTTTAATCTATCTTTTATATGTTTTATTATAAATGATGAATGCATGACGTCACTACACTAGTCCAACGCTAGTTGTGTTTTTCCTTTCGTGTTCTTACTAGTCCAACCCAATTCAGATTATGTTGCTGCATCGAAAATTAAGCTTGAAACAAGTTATTACAGTGTTTCAAAGTAAGGGAGTTGATGAATATACATAATGACAGCGATATTGCCTGTGGAACATTGGAAGTGAAGTAAAGAGATGTCATTTTTAATTATTTTTTCATTGTCATAAGATTTTAATATGTATTAGATTTCTATTTAGTTTAGTTTGCTAGATTGAATGGATTTGGAGGTTGTTTTTCCTCATTTGTGAAGTTATTGGTTGGCTCATATGTGTTTGAGTTTTCAAAGTTGGTTCATATGCGTAGGGAATGTATACAAAAAAGGAAAACACCAAAGTGCATGTACTATTTATGATATTTAATGTTATATATATTTAATATGTATTTATGACATCATGATGACTTCACTCGGTTCTTATACCAGTCTGACCGTGGTCGAACCCATTGACCCTTGACCCCTGAGCTCGACCGAGTCACCGAGTCATTACCCAATCCAAGTTTCAAAATATAGTTTGTGACAAGACAATTTTCCTTGGTTTTTTAGTGTTTCAACTTATAGAGATTACTAATCAAGAAACAATTGATTATGAAACAACTTTTCCTAAATTCATAATGTGAAGAAGGATGTTGATATCCATATTTAATGGTGTATTGGTTTCTTCTAGTCAATTTCTTCTTACATACAACTTAGAGTTTGGCTCTGGACTTCAGGAGTTGATTATTGGGATGTCTGCCCAATCTTATTGGAATCTACTGGACAGAGAAAATGATCTCACTTAACTTAAATTTAAAGTTGTTTTTATCTTTTAATTATTTGGTTTCACTTAACTTTTGCCTTTTCTGGAGTTGGTTTAAATGATGAATATCTTGGTGAACTTGCTTCAGGAGTTTGTGTTTGATTTGCTGGTATCAGATGAGGATGAAGACTTGGAAAGAGTTTTTTTAAGTTATCTAGTTACCTAATGATGAAGATGATGATAGGCCTTCATTGATGTTGGTTGGATATTTTGAACTGGATTCTGGACTTTTATGTGAATGTTTGTTTGTTGGTTCTAGTGTCTGGAATTCTAATTGGGTTGACTTTTATGTTGGTTCTGATTCTAGAATTTGGAATTTTAATTTAAATTCTTATGATTTTAGTGTGGTGATGATGGAGTTCGTATGCTACAGATGATTTTTCTTTGAACTTTTGAATTCTTTTTTCAGGAATGAGGATGCATTTATTTATCTTAAGAGTCCTGCTTTATAATTCCTAAAATATTGTGGAAATCTCCTATTTTTTTGGGAGATTTTGAATATGTATGGCATGTGATGTGTTCTCCTGTTGGCAGGTACGTAATATTTTTAAAAAGAAAAAAGAGAACTGTTGAACCGTGGTTGAACCATGACCTGGCCAATCATCCGGTTCATTTGCCAGTCCGAGTTTCAAAGCATTGCTCTAAAGGCTGTTAAATTTTTTCTTTAACTGGAGAGCGCAGAAATTGTCCCACCTACTACTAACTTGTAAGTAGTAACTGCCAAGGTCGAAGAATTCTGGTGGCTGTGAAAGATGGTCCCTCCTAAGAAATACAAGAAAAAGAAGAATGATTCAAAACAGTTAAAGAAAACCAAGAATAAGAAGAAGGGCAAGCCCAAGAGTATAAGACCACCAGTACCTTTGGAAAATGGAGCCGCCATTGATTCTGATTGGTGGAATTCTTTCTGGACTAAGAACTCTTCGACCCCAGGTATCCATTATTCTTTAATTTCTTTCAAAAAAAAAAAAATTCGTTTTAGAAATTCTTGTTTCATAGGATCCCACTAGAAAGTGTCCTCCTCAATTTCGGTCATCCTGAATCCACAGTTGTCTAGACTTTGGATTTTGGAGTGTTATGTAGGCCATTCTTCTGCAAGGCCCAAGTGTTAAACATATTTTGAAGTGAAATTCTTTTATGCCTTCTGTTTCTTGGTTCAGCTTGTTTTTCTTTGTTAGGCGAAATATGATAGAAGTCAAATTGAACCAGTTAAAGAAAACAAAGGGGTAAGAACAGCCTTTAGAAGTTAAACCATTAAAGCAAGCTAGAATTAGCTAGTGCATATTATGTTTTCGTATAGGGATAGCTCTTAAGTGATCAGCTCATTCAGTTCTGACTGAGATTTGGCTCAAATTTGCAGATTCCAATGTACCTTCTGATGAAGAAGAAGGATTCAAATATTTTTTTCGCGTATCAAAAAAGACTTTTGAGTACATATGCTCACTTGTTAGAGAAGATCTTATCTCGAGGCCTCCTTCTGGTCTCATCAATATTGAGGGAAGGCTTCTCAGTGTGGAGAAGCAAGTTGCTATTGCTCTAAGAAGATTGGCTTCTGGTGAATCCCAGGTTTCTGTTGGAGCTTCCTTCGGAGTTGGCCAGTCCACTGTTTCCCAGGTGACATGGAGGTTCATTGAAGCACTAGAAGAACGTGGCAAGCACCACCTTAGTTGGCCTGGCTCCAGTAGAATGGAGAAAATCAAGTCTGAATTTGAACTGTCTTTTGGCTTACCTAACTGCTGTGGCGCAATTGATGCGACACACATTGTGATGACACTTCCGGCCGTTCAAACGTCGGATGATTGGTGTGACCAAGAAAATAATTTCAGTATGTTCTTGCAGGGAATAGTTGATCATGAGAAAAGATTTTTAGATATTGTAACAGGTTGGCCAGGGGGAATGACTGTGTCCAGGCTATTCAAGTTTTCTGGATTTTACGAACTTTGCAAGTCTGGTGATCGGATGAATGGCGATGTCAGAAGGTTATCTGAAGGAGCTGATATCAGAGAGTATATAGTTGGTGGTGTTGATTATCCTCTTCTTCCATGGCTTATAACTCCCTATGAAGATGATGATGACCTTTCAGCTGCCATGCTGAATTTCAATAAGATGCATGAGGCTACAAGATCGGTTGCTGTAAAGGCATTCTCGGTGCTCAAGGGCAGTTGGAGAATTCTCAACAAGGTTATGTGGAGACCTGATAAGAGGAAATTGCCGAGTATTGTCTTAGTCTGTTGTTTACTTCATAATATAGTTATTGACTGTGGAGACAGTTTGCATCCAGATGTTGCATTGTCCTGTCATCATGACTCAGGTTATACCGGCCAGAGATGTAAACAAGTTGACCCTTTAGGGCAGCTGTTGAGGGACAACTTAGCTAAATACTCGCTTCATTGAAATGAAGGCTTCATGCACTTGATTTATCCAATTGTTCTTCCATTCCAAGTTCCATGTGCTGATCTGACCTATTCTTATGTTGCACGCGAATGAATCTTCATTACTGTGTAAAATGTAGTGGTGATTACATATATATTTGTTTATATTGACTGAATTCTGTGGATAATTGTTCTTGATTGAAACCATTTAATTCGTTTGTGTCGGACCCTTTCAGTTTATGACCAACGAATTTGAATAAAAATCAAGGATACCTTTCTCCTGTGTTGCAAAAAGTGGTTTTTTAAACTGCTTACCATATGACTCTGTGTAGCTTAGCTACAATGGTTATGTCCCTTCTTTACAACTGGCGTTGTTTTACCAATTGATCTGTCGAGGTCAGTGGATTTCATAATTCGAAAGAATGCTGCTTTGGCTTGTTCTGTTTGACTATTGCACTAGAATTGATAAATGATGAGATCTGCGACCATAACAAATGGTATTGTTTGTTGGAAAAAAAAAAGACCATAATAAATGGTATCTTTTAGCAATTCCTCACCGGAGGCATTGTTACTTGTTAAATGCACTAAGCAACTAAAAGATTTGGTTTGCTTTCACTTAATTTGTTGGAAATATAGTAAACTTTTGGAGGAGAAGAATTCTTCCGTCTGTCCTCTATTCGCCATTGGCCTGGATTGAAAAGAACACGTTGCATCATCTAGTCTTGTTTTAGTTGTTGGTTTATCAAATGCAGTTGTTCTGCCCTAAGGTGGTTCGTGTCATTGGATTATGTTGTTTTCTGAAAGTTTCGAATATCAACTTTCGCTTGAAAAAACTTATAATGGTAGATGGAGATCAAATGATTGTCAGATGAACTATTCTTGCACGATTTTGTTCAATTCAACAGAATGCTCAAATGATTGCCAGGGTTACTAGGTGAGCCGTCTTGGGATTAGAAACTAGGAAGGTGACCCACTAATCCCTAGCTTTGGGAATTACTAGAATAGTAGGAGTATTGTAGGAAGATTTGGGAACCCAAGGATAAAAGCTACTACTCTACTACCAAGTTAGTGAGGAATGGGAAGATCAACGGCTAAAGGATGTGAAGGAATTTCTTAGGTTACAAAATAGTGACGCGTAGTGGATTTTATTCACGTAAAAAATGAATAATCTGTATTTAATTAGATCAAAACAGATGCGAGGAGCTACCACTTGCTATACCATTTAGAATTTTATAGGCCAATATCCATTTTCAAATTCATTTGAACTGGGTTAATTTAAGTAATTTCATTCTGGGGATTTCCTCATTTTTGGTAACCTTTCAATCCGGTTTGTTTTTTTTCCCAATCCAAATGCTACTCAAAATAAACGTAGGTTTCATGTTCGATTTATTTTCTTCTTATTCCCTCATCCTTTAGAAAAGTTGATAGTGTTGAGTCTTTTAGCTCCCTCGTTCACCATCACATCCATATCTCCCAGAGTAAACCAATTCCAAGTGTGTTCAAGCTTGATGATTTTAAAGTTCACAAACATAAAAAGGCCTATCATGCTTGTACTTCGGCAGGATTGTGCTTTAGCTCGAACTCAAGGAACTTTCACATACTCAAGTTCTCTGTACTAACACAGCCTGCGTCTAGCAATGATCTGAAGAAAGGGAAGATTTCTTTGATGACGCAAAATTAGTGCCATACAATTAACCTTTCGTGCATGAAATAATTCAAGGGTGAAAGCCAAAACACACCAACTCAGGTTTTTTTTTAGAACAAAGCGAGAACAATAGGATAAACAAATGTACTTGTAAAACTAAAAGGTCGTAAAATAAAGTGTTTGATTTTCCAAAACAATAACATTTTGGTAAAACATAATTGATGAGATAAAATGGCTGGTGCTTATGCTTCCGGGACATGAGTTGGCAAGACTGTTTTGCCATGGCTTCCACATTATTTGACCAGCAACAAAAGCCACCTCCTGTTCCTCTCCACCATCCTCTCCCTTCAATCACTCTCCCCAACCACAACAGTCGACCTCCATAACCCCATAAAGAGTTCCTACCCCCCACGGGCCCCACTGGATTCCCCAATCTGCCATATTCTCCCTCATTTCTTTGATATCAGGCTCCTCTAGCTCCAAATGTTGAACATAGGAAGAAGGTACAAAATCCTGTCAAAAATAGGTAAGGAGATGGGCAACGGAAGAACATAACAAAGGATTGAAAACTACATTCATGTTGCTCAAAATTCAGTTGCTTAATTTTTTTAACCTAGTCAGTACAAGTTACTTCCTTTCATGTGGTTATTCAGCAATTAAGCACAAGGAATATAAGAATCTCTCTCACTAATCATGTACATCATAAAACTTCTGAGACTTCACCGCATATCATATTGACTTCTTAGTGGACGATGGACAAATTTCTGACTAGGCTCTGGATATCTGCATATGAAATCAGCAATGACATCAAGCATCCATTCTAGCCTTACAAATCCTATGAGTAACCTATCCTGCAAAATTCAAGTTCAGCATGTGTCAGTTACGTCTGGATCTCAATAAAAGAAGCAAGGTGTTAATTCAACACAATTGCTCAGCTCAACAATCTATAATGACAACAATCTAGAAGCTCTGATCTTTTATGTATTCTTTTTTCCTTTTCCACTAAAAGTCAGACAACATACACAGATATCTAGTAGCCTATGTTACCATTGGCAATCCTTTCTGCAAAAAAAAAAAAAAGGATTCTGTTCTTAGTTATATTTGTATAGATAGTGCAATTTGAAAAGTTATTATTTATTTCAAATATCAAAAACTAACTGGCAGATGCCATATATTTCACTTACAGATTTTATGTAAAATGCAAGACACCCACAGCAATAAATTGTTAGTAATTGCAGAGTGGCTGCACTTTGTTAATTTTCACCTCAAATTGGACATTTTAGAAATCACACAATGGTTTGCCATTACATCACTACCTATTTTGCACATGATGAAGATCTTGCCATGGTTCTGTGAGCTCTAATCTGACCCATAATGCATGACTATTTATTTAGTGTACAAGTATGATTTTCTACCATATTGACTTTCTTAATGACTAGACAATTGTAACTAAAGTCCAAACAAACCAAACTTGATCATAAGTTTATACTACAAAAAGCTACGTTTAAAAGAAATATAACTAGCAAAGATGGGCATCAAATGTAGCCCAGTGATTATGAATGTTTCATTTGATTCTCATTTTAAAAAAGTTTTCGTTCCCCGCAAGCTTCATGCTTCTTTCTTCCACTCCACCCTGAAAAATGAACAGACAAAAAAATCTAGCTAGCAGATACAATCAAGTACACAAACCAAGCACATAATAATTGAGAAAATTACAAATATAACAAGGTTGGGATGCTCATTAACAGGAAAGAAAAGTTTTAATTAATCACAAGAAGTAGGAGAAAATATCAACCACACAAGTTTAGTAAGGGATTAAGTAGAATCCAAGTCAGGAGTAAGCTAAAATGGGAGTGAAACAGGGGGCTACCATGTTCAGATATGTGGGGTTAGATTTTTATACGCATTATAGAGAAGAATAGCATTCTGCATAACACAAATAGCAAAAATTCACCGTTAAAATAACAAATCAGTCGAGCAAAAAATACTGAAAGCCATGAATTAACTACATCTATCAGATTAGCAAGTCTTTATGAATAGCACAGCAATTCTGAATTGCGTTTGCAATTTTTCCTTGGCCACGTTTTAGAAACTTTATCAGCAAATTTTTTTAATCAAACAGCTTTCTTGCGCGTCAGCCACGCACTTACTGCTCCAGGACCAAAACTATTAGTTGAAAGGAAATACTCACTTATCTGAGATTCATTTATTCATCATCACTGTCATAAACAATTGCCATTCGACGATGTGTCGCAGCTTTCCTGGGAGGAGAGTCCTCATCAGATTCAATGTCCTTTCTCTTAAGACTGGTTCCAGGCTCCTTAGATTTTCTCCTTGGCTCCTGAGAAATTTAATCTAATCATTAAGTCACTTTGACAATATAGAGCATATGCATTTATTATGACACAATATAAAACAGTATCAGCATACCAGTTGTCAAAGAAGTTTATTATGATACACAATTTGGTTTGATTGCTGCAAATTTTTTTTTCTTTTACTTTAGTCCTTAATTAACATAAACAGGAAAATGGAGAACACTTTGTTAGGTGCTAAGAGAGCTCCGGTATCAGTGTGGCCAGCTCATTTCAGTTATTCAGTAAAGCTTGAACATTATCCATTCAGTCTCCTGCTTGAGGAGTGAAGCTTGGAATCTTTTGGCTCTGATGCAAGTCTCCAACCATAAATCAGGTTCCTTATTGGCTTGCAATAATTTAACAACATAAGTGCAGGCCAACTCATCAACATTTAAGTTATCATCAAATGCACCGAGATGGACTCTAGACCAAATATAAGACAATCCAAGGATAGAATTTATTGTAACTTTATTTAAAGAGAGACTCGAAACTTTGTTTGCAGCAGAAAAAAAAAAAAGTCCTTTTAATAAGTTACTTTTCTCATACATTTCCTATTTATCTTACTCGTTAACTTTTTACACAAAAACTTGTGCACATCCCATGCAAAGCTAAACATGCCTAATTGAGGTGGAAACTATAATGTTCAAAATTGCTTGAATACTTAATCAGCTTAAAATGTGTTTGAGCTCAGTTCAACTACTATTCAAGCTGAGCTAAAACTAGAAGACGAGTGGATTCAAATTTTTTCCTCATCCAACCTACTCAAACCCAAGCTTAAAAAGTTAATGAATGCTATGTCTTGAAGTCTAATCTTTGATTTGTGGCCAAGCCAGCTACAAACGGGCTCTTCTGTGCGAGCTAAGGTCCATTCAAGTTCTGAGTAGTATGGTTGGCCTTTCAACCTGTCTAACTTCGAGCATACGGCTCCTGCATTATTGAGCTTAGCTTGAATCACCAAAGGAAAAAACCTAAGGCCAAATGAAAAGTGGAAGGCAACCATGAAGATTTCCAGCTTAAATAGAAGCTTCTTTCCTTTCCATTTTTCAAGGAAAACTAAGAGCTAGTTTGGATTGCTATTTTTAGGAGCCTTTTAGAAAAATGTACTGTAGCGATTTGATTTATGTGAGGTAAAAAGGTGATTGGGAAAAAGTAAATTTGATGATGTATTTCCCAAACTGCTTCCTTTCCTACTATAGAACACAAGATAATTTTATTATAAAGACAGGAAACCTAACATACATTTAATCCATAAGCAATAGACAGCAACATTATGCGGCCGAAATACATCAACATAGAAAGTCACCACCAATTATCATGTTTAGACATTTTTACAGTATGTTTCTCCATGTATAAAAACTACATGAAATTTTGAATTCATCTTATTTTGATTTGAGCTATATCAGGATCTTAGCATCACTCAACATCAGATTTAGCTTAAATACCAGGAGAACAAGAATCTATGAGAATCATGATTTTAGGCTTAGGCGATACTAATATGGTATCGTGATCCAATGCTTGTTTAATGAAGAATGCTTCTTGCATTAAATTCTTTTTTCTACAACCCTTCATTTCAACATGAAAAAAACTAAAATCTCTTTTTAGTGACTACATCACCTCCGCACATGGAAAGATTTCTTGAATTCTACAATTAGAACTCATGATTGCTTGGCATTAATTACCAGTTTGCTTATAACAAGGAAACAACCAGGACAACCAAACGTCTAAATGTCCATTGATTATCCATTCAATTCATATATTTCACCACAAAAAGATATAGAATCCTCTTCCTAACAATTCTTAAAAAAACATTTTGAAGAGCTAAGATTGACAAAAAACTTGGTAAGGCAACCACAAAATCACTGATCGTCTTAATCTAATATGGCCAACGGCCCAAATCAAGAGTCTTAAACCTGTAACCAATCTTGTCTATGTGCCTTCCTGGAAGACATTGACAAGAACAGATTTCTTTCCAAAAATATTGGCAGCACAAAAATTGCATGTTTTGAATATATTGTAGAAAAACTGGTTTGCTCTCAAATATCTTCTTCCAGTAAATGTCGCATGACATCCACCTCCAAAATTTCTCACTAAAATTGATTACATTCCTAATACACAAGTATATGCAAATATCAAACTATTGTTCATTAAAATTCATATTGTTAAACTCTGAATAAATCTCTGGCGTGAAAGAAGAAAGAAAATAAGTATGATATTACTATGGTGAAATTTAGAACTATTTAACCACCACCAAATACAAGGAGGGAGATCATGTTAGGACCTTTACTGTTACAGAGAACAATTGACTGGCGCTTGCCTCAAGCTTAATTGATAAATGAAAGAATCTCATTAAATCCAAGATTTCTTGATTGATTACTACGTGCTTAATTCCTAATTGAACATGAGAAACACACGGAAATTTGACATGCAATAAGGAATGGGATTACATATAGGAGAATTGCCTAGATGTATAAAAAAACTCGGAAGGGATTATACCCTGATATATAAATCTCACAAAGGAAACAGATAATATTAATCATCTAGTATTTTATGTTACTGCTGAATGGTCAAAAAAGGAAAACTTTATCCATCAAGCTGCAGAAATGAAAATTGTTTCTTAGGGCCTCCAGCCATTCTTGCTTTCGAACCTAACCACTTGCTCCTATTCCGTTGAAATATGCATATCACAACATGATGTCCTGTTTACCCTTGATCTTGAAAGAGTAGAATCACCATATTTACTCGATTGGTGTGATATTTCGATTGGTGTTATATGGTGATAGCTGTAAAATAACAACTAGCTTTATCTGTTGAAGACATTTTTTGTAGATTTATTTGAGTCTCAATTTGATCCCAAGTTATCAAGAGACTGAATTTAAGCATCAGTTGAGCACCCAGAGAAAGACTATTTCTACCGTAACGGATCGAATAGAAAAGAATGCTAGCTCATGGATGAACACAAGAGGGCTACTGTTCAGTGGACCAAAAGCAGGTCCAGAACAATACAGTCTTGCAAGCTATTGAAAGTGGTAAATGCAAAAGGCCAAGCCTTGACAATACCTTCAGTGCTATCTAACAACCTTGGGTAACAAGTTGGGCTAAGATGGATGTGTCGTAATCCAACAAGCTTCACTCAAGCTGCTTTATCTAACTAACTCACAGCTTGAAGGCTCAAAAAAATATAACCTTTGATCACTTTAGGATCACAAAGACCCCATACATAAGGTATGCTAATTTCCACAATAACGAGTGAAGTTGAAAGGTAAGTTCATAAATTTGCTATCCGTTTCTAAGGAGGTTACAGACTTCGAGTTATTTTATATTATGCTAGTTACATTGCAAAGTTGTGATATAATATATCTGTACCGAAAATGACTGATTATTATAGTTGAAACATCAACTCACTTGAGCTCAAGGCGGCCAATGCTTGCTTTTTGAGATTTTGAACAACAGCTTTCTTCACAAGTTCAGCATGGAGGTAAACAAAAGTAATCTACAGCATGCCAAATTCAAGTTCGACCAGAATGGTCAAGCCAATATTGAGAGTTGAAAGCTCGGAATGGCCTCAGCAAATAGGACTTTACTTAAAAGGGTAAATTGTGTCACCAATAGGGATGTATGCAAGCCGAGTCTCAAGCTACTTGAGTACACATTCGAGTCGAGTTTGAGTCAGAATTTTGCAGCTCGTGGCTCGACGAGTAGCTCGTTGAGCCGTATAATTTAAATAATATATATGTATTATAATTATAAAATGATCGTTGTGGGTATAATTTATACTGAATTTAAAAGTAAGGTGTCGAATCAAAAAGCTTGATTACTCGACTCGATAAGGCTTGACTAAAGGTCGAGCCTTATCGAGTCGAGTCTCGAGCTTTTCAAGATTTCCTCGAGTCAAGCTCGAGTTTGAGATTTTTCGACTCGATTGAGCTCAAGCTGAGCTCGAGCCAAGTTATTTATAGGTCGAGTCGAGCTCGAGTATAGCAATACTCGAGCTCGACTCAGCTCGATTACATACCTAGTCACCAACCCTCTCAAACCTCAGAACTATGCCATGCGTTGCCTTCACAGTGTCCTAGATGTACTTGGTTTCCAAGTACAGATATTGTTTGACTTCCATGTCGATTATCAAGGGAAGTAACTTATAGTTCTTACAAAGCCCTCACTTAGAAGAAAAACATTGTCATCATAGTGTTTAATACTCACAAGATACATGATACATGAGACATTTTATGTCGGTGCATAGCAATTACTTGGCATTCCTAGTAGTCGGTCCAACGCCAACAGAAAAGTTCCACATGTATATATAAAGGCCCACTTGTTAATTCACATGCTAAATGGGTCCACTTGGCATGTTAAATGGTACCAAGTGGGGCCCTTTTATGTTCACATGTTTGATAACTTTGTGAGTACCACATATTTTTAAAATTGGGCAGTTACTGCTCCTTCTGATTCACCCTTAGAGATCCGATCGAAGAAATATTCCTTTCTTGGACTTCAACATTTACTGATCGATAAACATGATGCACTGGTCCTTTGTTAGAACTGACAAGAAATTTTTTTTTTCTACTAGGCCTCAAAGATTTCCTGATGAACAAACAACCGACATCCTAAATGAATGAAAAAGTCATATTGAGATAGAGCTTTGGCTAGTGAAAGTCTAATGGCCAACTTATGGAACTTTCCTTTCAACGAAGACATTGAAATAAGTCACTTTCACAAATTTCTTGGTGAAACACTAAGATTACTCTGAAGTGTTGGATCTTGGTGTTAGTCAGTTTCAATAAGATTGGGGACACATCCCATTCAGAAGGCAAAGCTCTTGAAAGATTGATGCTGTTGTTAGTAGTCATTCAACCTCAGATTGTAATTCATGGGTCATACTCAACTCTGATACTAAACAGATGCATTTTTGGGTGCTAAGGAATGTAATAGTGAGTGAACATGTGAAACAAGAAAATTACTTATAGACCCCTATTTAGGTAGTAAAGTCAACCTTTCCATATTCAGCAGTTGATTTCAGGGAGAAATTATCACCCGAGAAGGCATGAAGTTTTTGTGATACATCAACATCCAAAACTCCATTAACTTAGAGTGGGGATGAGTATAACTGATTATAATTTGAAGCTAGGCCAACATTAACACCCAAAAGGATATATAATGAGGATAAAAGTGAGAACCCAAAACTCACTCACGTACATTCTTGTCAAAAGTACATAAAACCCAAATGAGGATAAGAAGTTAAATAGCAACAGAAGCCAAGAGTAAAGAGATAACAAACACATGCCACAATATCCCAGAATTATATATATGGCAATCACATATAGCAGCTTTACCTTTTCTTCAGCATCACAGGATGATGTTTCAAAATCCCCAAACAGAATAATGAAAACTAACCTCAATTCTAAAAACAATTTTCACATAATGCAATTGTTTATTGAGCTTAATGACATTTATTCCAATGTCACTTAAAATATTTCAATGTTCTTTGACAGACAGAAAGAAGAACATTGAAAACAGAACCACCTAGAAAATACCTGTGAGCATGTAAGCAAGGTCATAGCTGTCTCATTCAGTGAAATATAGCTTTATGCCATAATGACAAGAAGTAGATTGCAAATTTGGTCCAAACACATTTCAAAAATCAGTTTAAGTACTAAAATGAAGAAGAAAAAAGAAGTTTCTGGTTACAATTCCACATTATCTTCAGTATCCAGAATACAACCCATCTTTTAGAAGTTTACCCTGAAACTAAAGTTGAGAACTTCCACTTACCTCTGGCTCCTCTTCTGACACCTCATTTGCTTCTTCCTCCTCTTCATCATGCTCTTCCTCATCTTCATAATCCTGCTCTATGTCTTCTGCCCTCCCATGCGCTGGTGACCTCTCATCTTCTTCCTCTTCTGTTTCATATTCAGACTCTTCCTTTTCACTCTCTGAAAAGTCCACTGGCTGTCGAGATGATTTTGTTGTGGACATTGATGGCTTTCGTGCAACATCTTTGTGCCCCTGATAACATTAATGCAAAAGGACCTTTTGATAAGTATATTTCATAATGCAAGAAAAGCAAAGACACAGGAAGGGGAAGTGGGGAACAAGTATCTTATAGGGGCATTTGTTTCACGCAATCCAAGTGACATGCCTTCTTCGCATTGATAATGCGCTTCTCAGCTTGAGCTTCCATTTCTAGGTCTTCTTCAAAGCGACGTCGAGCAGCAGAACGCCGAGATTCATAATAATCTGGGTCTTCTTCCTGATCAATCAAAGGAGGAAAATTAGTCAGAAATGGATGAACTGACCTGAGTCTGTGAAGGTATAATTGCTAACAGCCCAAAAAAAAAAAAATAGCAGACAGCAGAATGTCACCTCCTCAAGTGCATCCTCTAAGAAACCAGGTGAAAGTTGGCGCTCCCTGCGTACAGTTTGTGTATACTTGCGATTGACTTTCTCCTTCTTCCGATTGAGAAGTTCATTGGCTCTGATTGTTTGACTCTCAGCCTACACATTAGGAAGAAATTAAACCCAAAGAGTATAGGGAGGGAGAAAAAGAAAGAAAATATAAGGAACAGCTAGTAACAAGGATATTCTAATATAAATACCTTCTCCTTTTGTTCTTTCTCCCTCTCAGGGTCAATGTCGGTGATGCAATTCTTGACCCTATAGACCTTTTTATGCCGTGAGTCGACTAAAGCAGTCAACAATCTATGAGAGTTAGATGATAATGATGAAGGCATAAATCTCATCTTTTTTAAGATTCTCCCTTGTGATTGGAGAATTCCCTACATTGACAACAAGTAAATAGAAAAACTGGTTAACAGTGTAGCTGAACTGTTTTGCTAAATTGATCCCACAAGAAATATCATTAAGCAAAAATTTGATTAACCAATTCTTTCCCAAGTACAGTAGGCAAGCACAAGTTAGATATATCTGCCTGTGAAATAAGATTTTGACAATTTGCAGATGTTACAAATTTTAAAGCATATTTGATATGAAGCTGGTCATTCAATGAAGAAAGAACAGCCCAGGTCACTTCAATCAAATAATCATTCATCTAGCAATTGACTAACTACAACATCTGATCGAGGCAATAAAGCACATACACATCCAAGAAAGAAGTTTAACCACAAATAACACTCTTTAACTGTTGCCAGAAAATTAGCAGGTTCTTATCTGGGTAAGATATGCTTTAAATAAATTTTAGCCACCTACGTTGAAAATAATGCCAACGTAAGGATGAGAGATACTTAAAAGACAAAATTATTACCTGATATACTTTACGACAAAGCATATAAGAGACAGCTTGTTTTTTTGGATAAGTATATCAGACATAGCTTAATGAAGCTGAACTTAGTGAAGAAAGAACGAAATTGCACATAGTTGACAAAGAATTGCTGCAAGTAATCAAAGGAAAATTCTTGTTTTGCAGATACACAAATTGAATAAGAATTGAGTTTTCCACGGTTGTAAAAATTTCTTTTAGGTTTTTTAAGAAGACAGTTTTTGTCCTCATTAACGACTAATTGAATACATGCATCATCACCTTTCCATGTCTAAGAAAAAGATGTGCTTGATCATGCTGTGCATCCTGCTCTGATATGTCAAGAACTTCATTTCCAATTAACAATTGTAAGCTCCCATCTGACCATCTCACAAAGCGTGCATTACTTTCAATCTACAAAAAAAGCGCATTTTATAAAATGAATCCCGTAATATTTGTAAAGCAACTATACTTTCAAGTCAAACAACAGAGGACATTAAAGCACTAGAGACCAAATAAAAGAGAAACAATCCAAAAAGAGAAGTAAATTACAAGCAAAAGCGGTCCAGCAAAGAGCTCAAGCTAAAATTCTGCATAAGTTCCAACTAATTGAAATATCTGAAGAAGAAATTTAAGATAATTAAACTACCATTGTCATAAATTCTCTGTTCACATTGGCGAAGGAACTCTAAATTTTTTTAAACATCTCATGCAACAGTTAAAAATGACAACTTTATGTAAATCAACTGCTTTTCACTCCATAGCAAATTTAGGAATAACAGAAGCTTCAAGATCATAATTAACTCCAGAACAGGAGCTGGAGGTACCATCTTTGAAAATTACATACCACTTTAAAGCATAACACTGTATAGGCCAAAGAACTGGTGATGTGCATTGTGCATGATGTACTTTTACATCTTGCACTAGCACAGTATAGTTAGCATCATACAGCCAGTCTCATGAGAACCAGATAAACCAAGTTCTGAGAAGGACAGTAAATTGAAATGGAAGGCCAGATACTACCAAATATATGAGGCTTAAGTTAGATGAGGGTTCATGGCATACTTGATGTGGGTGCAAATGATAGTCATTTGTGGAAATTATTTACATAGAAATTAGTTTTACACTTGATACAAAATTTGTAAAGAAGTTTATGAAAATAAAAATATGAAAATTAATAGTTATTCGTTAAACACCTATAATCATGGGTAGTTACTAACATGATTCAAAAAAAAAGAGAGAAATTTTTTGCATGTCAGACCGTCTTTTTAATGTTTAACACCAAATTCCTTTCCTCTGACCTCATACATAGCATAGGAATGGATTATTAGAGCAAAGCACAGGGAATAAATTTCCAGTGGCTAACAATTAGAAATAGGTGAGAAAAGAGAAAATTTGGATCATTGATGATTACTCATTTTTTGTGCTTCAAAGTGGAAAGATGCTATAACATAATAGTTTTTTGTGTGGATAATAGCAAAAGTGGAGCACTGGAACCTAAAACATGCAGATTGAAAAGGTTCAATCAGACCATTCAAATAAAATTCGGCTGAGATTGCTCAGTCTGCATTTAGTTACTAGCACCATTCACCATCAAAAAGCTTATTCTCAAGGATGTAATGATAGGATCTTTCACAGATCTTATATTCAGTCAAATGCATGAAGGCTTAATGCTTGATATGCAAAGCTTTAACACTATCGGCTCCCCTGATATGCACCTTTGCCATCCAAATAAGCATTTCGGCAAATTTAAGATTTATTATCAGCTAATAGATTTCTTTGGATTGTTCTCCAGATAATTAGAATGACCTATAGATGGGCCTACCATCATTTGTTTATTCTACAATGGTTCTCTTTTTGCAATGGGAGATATATTCTTAACTATCGAACCACAGACATTCAATTGTTCCACCACTGCATTTTATGTGTAAATGTCCAAATAATCATCAACACAACAATCTGATCCATGACTAAATGGAATATACTTTCATGCAGGATATCCAAATATTTGCAACATAAATTAAACTTTCAAAGGCTAAAATATGGTCATGTCAAGATATACATGGGCAATGAAATTGAGTTAATAAGAGTAGGAATAAATAAAATATTTCTGGTGTCAACAAAGTATCATAAGCCTCTTCTATAAGCAATGCAAACCAGTAAGTACACTCACAGAAGTTGTGCCATCAGGATTTGTCACTCTCCTCCACCGAACAATATTATTTTCCAAGCGGATGCGTCTCTTAGACCCAGATTCATCTGTCACAAAATGATCCTCTTCAATATATGTTTTGGGATCAAAAGGCTTGGGGTCGATGCCCATTATATTAGAAACTTTGATCATGTTCATCTGCAACAAATTGGGAAAAGGGAAAAATTAAGAAAAAGAAGGCATTAAATTTCATAACTTATTCTACCAGTAAAAGTTGGTATTCCATAAGGATCCTAAAGCACAAAGAACTAATCTTCTTTCACTAATTTCCCAATCTAAAGTAAATCAAAGTGAAAGAAACCAAAAGCATAGAAGAGTTATCATTTCAAAGGAAATCTTATTGCCTTTAAATCCCAATTGTGCAAGACATCTAGGCAAATAAACCTTGGAAGAGAAAGAAAGAAACATGAGAAAAATTGGGAACAGGAGAAACATGAGAAACATGAGGCATCTGCAATAAATTGGGAACAGGAGAAAAATGAATTTGGGAAAAAGAGAAAAAAATTAAGAAAAAGAAGGCATTAAAATTCAAACTTATTCTACCAGTAGATGAATTGGGTATGCCTAATGATCCTAGAGTACATACAGACTATTAGTGTATATAGAAACTAACCTTCCATTAATTCCCCAATCTACAGTGAATCAAATCAAAAGATACCAAAAACAAAGAAGAGTTATCATTTTAAAGGAAATCTTAGTGGATTTAAATCCAAATTGTGTGAGACATATAGAAAAGTAAACCTCAGTAAAGAGAGAGAGAAACACAGGGCATCTTATGAGCCACACAGTTATCATGGTAAGGTAAACTTTCATTACATTGTGACATGGGGCTGTGTAATTGGCAAGATAGATCCAAAATAACGAGAGCGTGGCCCGCAGTGATACAATGCCATAACATACCATGAGTAAATAGTCCAGTAAATCAATATCTCATCATTGATCTCGAACATGCATTATGCTCAGGAGGAACACTTGATTGGCAAGTCAATAATTTAATCCAGAATAATAACACAAGTTAAGTATACATGACATGTCATACAAAGCTTAAAAATAAACCATAACGCAATCTTTCTTTTCACAGAAGAAACATCAATGAATAATAGATAGAGGTGGGCCCATAACATGCTAATAATTCATCAAATGTGAAATTCAAATCTTGCACAGTATGAATCTTCTGACACTAACAAAAAGTACGTAACAAGTTTGATCACTCGCAAAATACGAGAGGTAAGAGTATAAATCAAAAAATTAAACTGATTAATCTTCTTGGAAGAAACAAGGCAAATAACACATTAATCTCACCAAAGTCTAGTAAATTAAACTAGATTCAAAAAGCAGAGCACTCAAAACTATATAAGCTAAAGCATTGTTAGAACTTTGATCATCAATTCTATCATCAGGCTGGTCAAGAAGTTGTCCAGAGTCAAGACTTAACTCTGGTATTCTTAAAACGAGAAGATAGCAATACAAGTTTCGACTTATTTATTAATCTTGAGTCAATGGGGAGTTCTCTATCATAAGTCCAAATGGTAACATGAAAGGTACTATGCATCCAATTATGCCTCTAAAAGTTAAAAAGCAGGGGAAAAAAGAAACCTTTTCAGGGAGTGCAGGAGGTGGACGCAGCGGAATCTCCAGCTCCAATGGAGGACCAACTGGTTTTTCCCTTGGCTTAGCCTCAGGATGCTCTTCCTCAGATTCATAGTGGCCCTCCTCATCAGCCAGCATATCCTCTGGTTTGAGTTCCTTGTCATAGTCCTCCTCATCCTCTTCCATAGGGAATCTCTGTGAAATAAGAAAAGCTAATAATTGCCATTCATATAGCATATATATGCATTCTCAGCTGCAGAATATAAGAAAAAAATCCACAATCACATTTTAGCATCTAATACAAACATTTGCCTCATCTTCAATTTGATTTTGAACCCCATACTCCACTGGTTCTTCATCATCAGAGTCCCCAAATACATCACGGATCTCAGGAGCTGAGAGTGAAATATGAGCCTCATCTCTCTCTTGACTAGGAGATCTGATGTAAAAGACAACGAAGAAATGTATTCAGCATCATCCAAAATAAAAGAGTCAGCAAAAAAGCAATTTTCTTGCAGATGTTTGTTAATGAACCATAGCAAGACATATGCAATAGTCATACACAGTCATTTTAAGCCCTTTAAACTGAGAATACAGTCATGAAAAAATGCAAATAAATAATGAATAAATAAAAAGTATTTTTTCCTGATGTCCAATCTTTGCTGTGTAATATCTCGAGTCCTAAGGAAAATGTTACTAGCAGCATCACTTCTTCCTTTGATAAGCAAAAAGGCCCTCACTTAAGGACGCAAGTGAATATTGGAGCAAGTGTTGTTGGTTGAACCACTAAAGTTCTCGTTTGGAAAAAAAAAAAAAAAAAACATCGTTTCACATTGTTAATCAAGCAGGAGAAAGGAAATAGTACATGGTACTTGTAAGAAAGCATATTTAAAATAATTAAGCAGATACCTAAGATTTCTAGCCTGATTCACTTCTTCATCTTCATTGTCAGCATAAGTGTTGTCCTCAGATCTTTCTGATCCACTGATGACATCACCACGTCTCCTGCTGGTTACAACTCTCTGATCATATTGTACTTTTTCATCACTCTCCGAGTCTTTTTCTCCACTTTCTTCCCTGTGATCACCAGCTTCAACTTCTTGAGAACTCTGTTCTCTTTCACCCTCACTTTCACCACGATCATGATCAATATCTTGTAGTTCAGCTTCACTTTCTATTTCTGCTTCACCATGGCCTTCTACTTCACCTTCACCCTCTGGCTCCAGCCCTCCATCTCCTTCTTCCTGAATGCAAAATTAATTATGAGCACAATAAATTATCAAAACCAGTGTAGAACATGGATCAATTCAAAAGCCATTTCATCAACATTAAGCAGATACTATCCATAAGTCATACACTAATATGAAGACAAAAATTCGAGGGACTCAGAAAAATATCATAAGAACTTTCAGACCAAATAATTCCCTACTGTTTCAGAACATAAACTAATTAATATTCGCTTTCTAACCAAACTCAAAATTAAAATGACAAAACCTGATTAGTTCAAGTTTTAAAATTTAATAAATACATACTGACGATAAACTTTAGAACAAATGCATAGCATTTCCTTTATAAACACGTGAATACAATCCAATATATGGATAAGAAAACAGTCGATGGGCAGATATACTTAGAAAACCCTAATTCTGCAAAAAACGTTAATTCTATAGATATAGATGGATATAATATCCGTGCAAATTCATTATCCCTGACACAGAGTTGAACAAAAAACAAAAATCTCTTTCCTTTAATCTGGAAAAAATGTTGGAATAGAATGATACTAAAAGAGTTCTTCGGGCAACGTATGAATTTATGAATATAGTTCTTTGATTACACAAGTACACCAAACCATGTAACTTTTAATCTTCGGGTAAAACTGAAATTACAAACCTAATTCTTATAACCCAAGAAAAAGGGCGAAATTAAATTCTTTCAGCAAAGAAAGATCATCATTTGCATCTGCATATACATGCATGCATATGCAATCACACATCTGCCTATAACCGATAACCTAAAGTTTGGGGCTTGGGCCAATTCACCAATTCTAACTAAAGAAATACACAGAACAAGGGAACATTATAATTCCAAATTAAAATTGAGACTGTATAATCAGTAAAATTTCGATTAAGAAAAAGTTCAGGAATTGATACCGAAGCATAGCCGGGCTGGCGATTGGACTCGTGCTCGGACTCGACCTCCTCTTCTTCCTCTTCTTCCGATTGCTCACCGAACAAATTCTGCATCATCTGATGCCTCTTCTGTTCTCCCACCATTTTTTCTCTCTTTTTCTGCAACTCCGAAGCTCTTCTTTCACTTTCACAGAAAACTCTCCCTGTGCAAGTGTGCGACTGTGTGGAGAGAGAAAAAGAAGGCTTACAAGTAGAACTCTCCGAGTTTTGTAACGGTCGCCGAAAGGAGGCAAAATTGGTAAAAATGTAAAATGAGGACAAAATTTTATCTCTAGGGATAGGGTGAAAAGCAGTAAGATAAAAGAATGTAACGGACCAATTGAAATTTTTAATATTTTAAAGGAAAAATTTAGAAATATATGCGGAAATCGGTAGCTTAGGTGAATGTATTTGGCTACTATTCGCTCATTTGTTTGTGACGCACTTACGGTTGGCTATATCCAAAAAGGTTGGAGTGACTAAGCCTGTCAACGGACCGGATCCGGACAGGATCCATCAAATTATTCCGGATACGGGTAGAAATTTAATTCCGTTACTCGGATCCGAACTCAAATCCATTTTATCAAACAAAAAATGGGTCAGATACGGAATATAGTATTTCGACTCGTATCCTGCCCGGATCTGGATATAAATGAATTAATAATTTAAAATATATATTTATCAATATAATTTGATTAGGGTGATGTATTTGAGTAAGGTCAATTTGATTTCTTTTTTTATTTCTTTTTTTCTGTATTAGTTAGAAAGTAATTTACAAATATATTTTTTCTCATTTTTGTTAGAAATTGTAAGATTTGATAGATTTTTTTTCGGGTAGACCTGACTTGGATCCGAGACCCCCCGGTAAACGGGTCGGATCCAGATCTGATATAGTATGTCAGGTCTGGGTCCAAAATAATGAATTCCGACCTAGACCCGACCCATTGACAAGCCTAGGCGTGACCAAGTGTTACTTATGACGGTAGGCTATATTGAAAAAAGTTAGTGTGACCAAGGGTTGTGAATAAAAATGTGACGGATCGATGAAAATTATTGTCTAGAAAATTAACAAATGTGATAGTCGAGACATTGTTAGGGTTTCGATCTAAACTTCCCTGAATAAACTAGTAAAGACATTGCAATCCTTTCAAGAGTAGACTCTTTCACACATCACTTTATATGTTAATCAAAGTAATCAATCCATTCAAATTTCATCATCATTTTGTTAGGACAAATGTCTTTTGTCACTCTAATTGGCCAAATTTTTTAAATTGCTTTTCACTTGAATCTCAACAAGTTGATCGGATTCATCAGGTATTGCATGGTGCCTACCTTAGAGAATTGCATTTTTCATACTAGGCCTACCCTTGGCATAAAGGGTTTCCCTATAGGACATGCATACCGATTTTACAGTTTTGCTTGCTAAATTTGGGTATTTTTCTTTTATTTTTTCCCCCTCCCCTACATTTTTAAAGGATATTTCAATAAAGTAAAAATATTTTTTTCTATATCTGATAACAATTTTGGTTTGATAAATTTTGAAAAATAACAAGTATTACTTGATTGTTGGGTAGATCCTACAATGTAAAAACATGAAGAATCCATCTGGAAACGCTAGGCTAAAGCATCAAGAGACTTCATAATTGTTTGTCAAAAAAAATCCTATTTATTTGGTTTGTTAATACATTTTGTTCCAAATGAAAAAGGAAACAAAAAGTGTGTATATGTGAAAGTGGAGTTCTTTAGAGATTTTTCTTTTGTCATTTGTATTATAGCTGAACAAGAAATTTTATTTCAAACATTTCCAGCAATAGTTTTTCATTTAGACCGTTATTGTTGTATATAATCATGTATATTTCATTTTTTATTGGCTAATTGAGGATTTCATGATGAATTTTAAGAAATAAAAATAAGTTAAAATTTTCAACCTCTTACCTGAAAATTCACAAGTGCATGTTTAATTGTCTAAAATTTTTGCATACATTAGATTTGTGATCCAGACTATTCAATGAAAGCGCTCGGAATCAAAAGAAATCACTCAAACTGGTTAGTTTGTCTCAATAAACCAACTATAATACCTTTTTCCCTTTCATCTGTACTATTCATATTTTGCCCACTTCTATCAAACTTTCAAAGTAAGTCATATTGGTTGACAAACTTTAAAGTCAGGCAATTTTTATTTTCAAAATGACCACTGTACATAATCAAATTCAATCCACAACTAAGTGAAAGTAAAAATATACATTATTCTTGTTTGTTTTGAAAATTTGAAATGATACTTCAAGCGTTCGTTTCTATATCTATACAGATTTTATCATTTGCTCTCCCATTTAAGCCTTTAAAGGAACATTTTCGTTTCAAATAAGAGTCTTAATAATCACTACCCTACATTGGGAAAAATTTCAAATGTCAAAGGGGAATGGATTCTCAATGAGCTATTCTTTACTTTGGTTGTCATAAGGCACAAGAATGATGCTTTAGCCATCGTTTCTACAATCTAAACACTATTTGTCCATTGCATCCTTATTTGAGCTAAAATGAGTGGTTCTTTTCAAAAGCACTTATGATCTCACCCCACATTGGAGAATTTTTAAAAAAAAAAAAAAAAACAAAAATGCTCAAATTAAAAAAAAAGAGAGGGAACTACAAGTTGGGGGAATTCGATTCTACCATTAATATTTGGGCTCCAATTTTGAAAAAGAAAGAAGAAGAGAGGGGGGCATCTATAATCTCAAAAGTTAGGGGATCCTCAATTCCATCATTTTTGGTATTTCGATATTGAAAAAGAAAAAAGAGAAAAAATGAAAAAAAAAAGAAGAAAAGAAAAAGGAAAATGTGAAAAGAAAAGAAAAAGAGTAGAGAAAATCAAAAAATGCAAAGAGATTGAATACTGAATTCCCTAGTGAGTGATGATAAAAGTCAAACAAATTCCAAAATCTTTGAATCCAAAATTGGGGCAATTTTTTGGAAAGGAATGCGATTTTAAGTGCAATGTCCTTAAAAATTTTATTTCTTTAACTATCGTTTTCAAGTCACATTACAAGCTCATAAACTCCATCGCTGACTTATCTTTCATGACAATTCGAAATAAGGATCATACTCCTAACGAGTCTACCAATCACTCGTGATCATAAGGCCATAAGCTGTTTCCATATGTTTAGCTATCGCTTCTACCCATATATTACAAGCTTATAGAACTTATATGTTGACTGAGTTTTCTCAAGAAATAAGGATAACAAACTATTTGCTTTTATTAAGATGTGATATTGGATGTGTTAGATACAATTTGGACACAAAAACAAGACAGATCCTGACTTACCATTTCCCTAAGTCAGCCCAAAATCATGAATAATACCCACTTGTTTGATCATGAAGGATGAGCTAATGAGAAAAGTGATCATTCCCCCCTAAGCACCGATGTTAAAATGAGAGATTCATCATGAAATTTTCTGCATGAGTTTAAACACGACATTTAAATTTCTTTACATTGTATGTTAGTATGTGATTATTTTCTAAATTTTAGGAAGTGCAGTTTCTTACTTTGTTCAAATAAATGGAGAGCTATCCGAACAAAATTTTTGCAACCAAATGGGTCCACACTGGGGCAAATTTTTATTTTTAAGGTTCCGCAAAATGGGTCCAAACTGGGGCAAAGTTTTTAATTTGTGAGATTTCGCTCAATAAGTCCAAATTTGGACAATAACTTTTATGATACATTTGTGAGATTTCGCCCAATAGGTTCAAATTGGGGCAAATTTTTTGTAACAAATTTGTGGGATTTCGCTCAAGAGTCAAGTTACATACTTTCGAATCTATTGTTCAAAATTTGACATCATTATTTTTTAGAATAAAGCAAAATATTTTGCGAAAAATTCAAGTGCATGTTAAACCCCCCTCTATGCAGGTGTTTATGACTGAAATCGATGAAAAAGCGCAAGTCAGAATCTTGCAAAATTGAAAACCAATTTTATAGCAGGCTAGGGTGTTATTCCACTGACCAAATTTTACGACAGGCAAGTTCGAGTTTTATCCCACCGATCAATTTTGGGCAGGCTTGGGTTTTATCCCACTGACCAATTTTATGACAGACTCGGATTTTATCTCACTGACCAATTGTTACAGCAGGTTTGGGTCTTATCCCACTAACCTTTATATATTTGCTTGTTTCAGTTCGTGGCATAATAACTACAGGTAAGTATTTGGTGTCTACGTCTTTGTCTCGAATTTCTTCGAAATTCAGACAAATAGAGGCAAGTTGTAGACACCAAAATTTCAATTTTATTTAATTCACTTTTAATTTTATTTAATTCTTGTTTTTATTTTTATTTTTTATTTAACCAAAAATTCGCAAAATGATAGTTAGTTATTTTTATTGAATTAGGGTTCATTTTCTTTTTAAATAATTTTCAAAAAAAAGAAAAGTCTCACAAAAATTTGTTTTTAATCTTTTCAAATATAATTTCTTCAAAATAAATGAAAATTTGCAAGGCAATTTCACGTAGGAGTTTAACATTTTGTTTACCCTAAATTTGTTTTGAAAAACAAAATAAAAACAAAAGTATGTGGAAAACATGCAAGATAGCTAAGTGGAATGCATGCAAATGAGCCATGTGGTTTTGACTTTTTGAACACTACAACATACAAGAAACTAGGTGGCTAGGACAGGTGGAGTTTGAGGAAAAATCTGGAAACAAGAAAGAAAATTAAGAGAGGAGTTTCGGGTAAGGAAAAGAGAAAAAAGAACTGGGAGAAGGGAGAAGATTGAGAGAGGGTGGTGGCTGAGGAACAAAAGAAAGGAAAAACTGAGAGGGAAACAAGGGAGAATCTGGGAAGCAAGGAAGGGAGGGAGAGATTGCAGAGAGAGAGGAAAAATGAGAGAAATTGGGAGAAAAAGAGAAGAAAAAAGAGGATTTTCGGCTGAGGGAGAAAAAGGGAGAAAGAAAAGAAGAGAGAAAGGGAGAAGAGAAACCAGAAAAAGGGAGGAGAGAATCTGAAAGAGAGAGGGGGCGGCGGAGGGATCAAAGGGAGAGAGAACAAAAAAAAAAAGAAGGAGAAAAAGAGAGAAAAAGGAAAAAAAAAATTGCAGAAAATTTCCCAGAAAATGAGCCAGGGTTGGTGAAGAAGCCTACTTCAAGACCAAATTTCGATCGTGTTCTTGATCCTCTTGGTTTTCCTTCAGTTTCTGCATTCACTATGTTGGTAAATCTTTAACTTTCATTCAGAAAACATCCCGAAATACCATCTTCAGCAGTCT